GGATGAGGGAAGGGTGAGAGGGCGAGAGAGAGATGAGAGGGTGAGGGAGACTGATGGTAGGGAGGGAAGTCGAAGCCACCAGTCCTCGCTTACCAGGATCACCAACGAAACACAACCAATCCGGACCAACCAGCCACGGGTCAACAAGTATTAGTAGTAAAGAACAAAATGCTCAGAGAGACGGACACCTTCCTTAAGATTTGCTAGACGATCTCCTTGTGTCCGTGACCCAGATAATGTAACACTTGGGTTCATCCTCAAGCCAGCCTGCCTGCCACATCTCAACACTAATCCACACCCACCAGCTTGGCCAATCCTCTGAACCAATCATCTCCTCAACCCTTTGCGAGTATCCGTGACCCAATTCTCCACCCGAATCTTACTTGGCTCATCCGCTAGACCGATCTCTGACTCAAGCCAACCCCCCACACACAGCTTCAGGTCAGCCCATGTATTGACTCCTGTCAGCCCAACCCACATAATGGATCCAGTCAGCCCAGCCCATGCATAGACCCCCGCACATACAGCTTCGGTCCAGCCCATGTCAGTCCAGCCCATGTCAGCCCAGCCCATGTCAGTCCAGCCCATGCACTAACCCCCAGATTCGTACCCAGCACCTTGCACAACACCACGGTCAAGGCGTCACCCTGCTAGTGGTCGTCTCCCAGTTATTTACGTCCAACACAACGCCACAATGACACGACCACCGTTACATCTCTCTCGTCACGCCTCAGCAAGCTATCGTATTATCCTGCAGTCTAAAGTGGGATAACACCCTTTTGCCCCCTTAACTGTAGAGTGGGATAACACCCTTTTGCCCCCTTAACTGTAGAGTGGGATAACACCCTCTTGCCCCCTTAACAGCACCACCAACGGCTCTTTGAAACCTGTAAGCAAGTGTCAAGATTCAGTATATTTCTCAAACTAGAAGATTTAGTGGTGGTATATTTTGTTTAATATATATCAGCTGTCAAGGATATAGACGAGGGTGGTCAGTAAGTTGTGTGATGTTCGTGTCATTTTGTACGTCTATCCACCCACCCACATTTACCCACACCTAACCACCCACCCACATCCACACCTCCCCACTGTGGCTTAAAACATCTACTCTAATCACTATACATTACCAAATCTCTCACGCCAGCCATTACACACATTACTATTTTTAACAAAGGCTCATCCGTGAGGCTTAATACTCCCAGTAATCCTCTCTACAATCAAGCAGAAGTTACTAGTACCTTGTGGTGGTGAGGATGGTGATTATGATGGTGGTGATAGTGGTGGGGGTGAGGGTAATGGTGGTGATGGCAAGGACAGTAAAAAACAATGGTGACAATGATGGCAATGATAATTATGAGAAACACGACCATGTGTGTGTGTGTGTGTGTGTGTGTGTGTGTGTGTGTGTGTGTGTGTGTTGTGTGTGGTGTGTGTGTGTGTGTGGTGTGGTGTGTGTGTGTGTGTGTGTGTGTGTGTGTGTGTGTGTGTGTGTGTGTGTGTGTGTGTGTGTGTGTGTGTGTGTGTGTGGTGTGTGTGTGTGTGTGTGTGTGTGTGTGTGTGTGTGTGTGTGTGTGTGTGTGTGTGTGTGTGTGTGGTGGTGTGTGTGTGTGTGTGTGTGTGTGTGTGTGTGTGTGTGTGTGTGTGTGTGTGTGTGTGTGTGTGTGTGTGTGTGTGTGTGTGTGTGTGTGTGTGTGTGTGTGTGTGTGTGTGTGTGTGTGTGTGTGTGTGTGTGTGTGGTGTGTGTGTGTGTGTGTGTGGCGACACAGCCCTGGGGTGAACCGGCATCCTGGCAGGAGGGAGGAGTAACCTTCTACCTACTGACTGATAAAAATCACCTCACCTGTCCTGCTACCTTCACCCCACCCTGTGTTGTGTTGTGTTGTGTTGTGTTGCGTTGCGTTGTGTTGTGTTGTGTTGCGTTGTGTTGTGTTGCGTGGTGTTGTGTTATTTTGCGTTGCGTTTTGTAGCAAGAGAGATAGATTGACAGCAACGAGTATGACGCTGGCAACAAATTCTACACGCCTAGTGAACAAATATTTCAATATTAATAACACAATAATACATATGAGTGGTGGTGGCGGCGAGTGAAACCAAATATCTCTCATTCAGACGATAATCGAATTCCGGACAAAATATACAAACTGACGCCACGAGTGACTGATGCCACACAGGACAAGTATTATAGGCTGGAGGCGTCAGCGTATTGACGGGTGATAAGCCATCATCCTACTGGTTTACCCGGATGGTTGACGGATAGTTGACGGATGTATTAGGCTTTACTGATAATAACAATGTTTTGGGTAGTGTTAGTTAGATAATGAATCATGGCGGACACACACACTGAAGAGTCTTAATAACTTAAATAATAAAACTACCTTCAGCAGGTAAGAGTTAATTATATTCTTAAAACAGGTTCTCTCATCTCTGGTCCGTGTACTGCATTAGTTCCTACCACTCTTGTTACTACACCATTACTATATTAAACATAATTAAATTCTCTAGACTGAGTATACAATATTCTCTTGGATGCCGCTGAGTGTGTGTCTGTAGGGGAAAGGTCTTTGTGTTGCGTGACCTTACGTGACCTATCCTCAAGCTGACACGGGCCACGGTCACTCTCGAGAGGGTAAAGTAAAAGTGGTCAGTGGTGATACATCTGACTGGATAACTAAGAGTGAGTCAGTCTCTCTCTCTCTCTCTCTCTCTCTCTCTCTCTCTCTCTCTCTCTCTCTCTCTCTCTCTCTCTCTCTAAGAGCCCGAGAGATAGTGTTGAACATCTGGCGAGTTTATCAGATCCTTTGGCTCTATATACACTGATGCTTTATGCCGGTTTAAACATGACTAATAGAACTAATATAATCTATGTTGCTTATGTGGACCACGGATTATACAGTCGATAACGGTTCAATAACCACAACCCCTCCAAACTGTTGCTAATAATACAACTTTATATATATGGCCTCCAACCTCCCCTTATAGCCATACCTTCCTTAATACAACAACAACAACTACTACAATACTACTCCTACTACCAATAATAAAAGTTGTAATAGTAGTAGTACAAGAAACGTGGTTATCGACAATTATTACTAGGAACACCATTACCCCTCATACTGCCTCGACCTGCAGGAGCTACTATATGCAGGGAGCAGCGGCAGTGTGGTGGGTGGTGTGGTAAAGGGCAGGGAGGTGACGTGACCAACAACACCCTCTTTGTCTCTCCCTCCCTCCACATCCCTCCCTTCCATCTCTCTCACTCTTCCTTTCCTCATTATCTTCCTCCTTCACCTTTCTCCCTTCCTTCTTAATCTCCCTCCCTCATTTCCATTACTAATAACAGACTCTCCTCCCTCTTCTCTTCCACATGCACCCTTCATCCTTTGCTTTACTCCTTCCTCCCTCCTCCTCCTCCCTCCTCCACTCCTCATATCCCCCTCCACCCATGAAGCAAACAGATCCTCAAAAGTTAATACACAAAATTTTCCTCTTAACTCTTGTAATGTCAAAACGCCATCCACCTGATTCACTTACAGGAACAAAGATGGCGGCGGCCTTTTGAAGCATTTGCATACTCGTATAATTTCTATTTCTATGATAATGAAATAAAAACATTGCTGAGAAGGTTGCAAATGGCGTCGAAATTGGCTGAGGACTCTGCTGGAGGAGAAAATGGCGTCGAAACTAGACTAAGACTGTAGAATGTCATTATGAACATAGCTCGTGTATATTAGCTCAAGTCAATCACACACACACACACACACACACACACACACACACACACACACACACACACACACACACACACACACACACACACACACACACACACACACACACACACACACAGCCTGAGTCATAAGGAACACCTCCTCGGCACAAGGATCCCCAATAATGATTCAATGAAGCGAGGCGACCAGGATGTTGGCTCCTCAGTGCAATACATCTCCTGCGCCTCCTTCAGGATTTTTTAAAGGATAGTAAGCTCAAGTTTCCTTTCAATTGTCTTATATAAAAAATGCACTTTAATTGATATAAACAACCACAAAAAGATTCAAAATGACAACCAAATTATGCATGACTCAACCTTAATTAGATGAATACCTGCACTTAACACAGGTAAATGGGTCAAAACAACCTACCCAACCAAAGACTCAGAGGACCTATCTTATTTTTCCCTCGTACTCGGGGGGTAGTGGTCGTGGAGGGGTGAATGGCCTAGTTACGGTCGAGTGTCACCAATTTGGACCGTCATTCTTGGTTGCATCTTTGTGGTGTAGCTGAGGTGAAGTGAAGTAGTCTGAGGTATTCTTACTTCTCAAGCTACTGTGTGTGTGTGTGTAGGGAGTAGTCGTTAGGTTCGGTTAGTTTTAGTTTTAAAATAATAATCTTAACATGATAATTAACACTAAACCACAACTTGAAGAAGCATTCCAAGATGTCTGAAGAATAAAAAAAAACTGAATATGTTCGAGAAAAAGTTTAATTCATCTCCAAAATAACACAAAAGTTTTAATAAATGTTATAAATCTCTGAAAGAAAGTAGGAAAATATAATTGTGTGTATTATAAAGTATAGCTCATGGTGTGTGTGTGTGTGTGTGTGTGTGTGTGTTAGTCGTCAGAGCTCACAGTAGTTAAGGCTTTTTAACTTGAGGTCATCTAGTGCGGTGAGTGACTTGTGTACAGTACGTGTTTTAATCGAGTGTTTCACCTGTATAATACAACAAGGTCTCCATGGGTGTGGTGGCGTAGGTGGGTGTAAGTGGATGTGATGGACGAGGATACGGGTACTAAGGTGCTAAAGGTGGATCTAGCTGGATAGGGTGGATGAAAGTGGATGTGGGTAACAAAGTGGTATAAGTCTTCATGTGGTACAGGTGGATTTAGGTGGATACAGACAAGCAATCACATTAGTTAACACTGGTCGTCCAACTCAGGCCCTCCAGTCGACGCTGAGTAATACACGGTGCCACGATGAAGCTGACAGACAGAGATACTAACCTGATAGAAGGTCTTGATGTGGTTGAGGAGAGCAGCAAGGTTAGCGAGTCGGGAGGCAGCGTCTGTAGGGTGACGGTTCACATGTCGACCACCACCGTCACGCGGGTCTCTGCAACAACATAACAATAACAATAATAAAAACAACAAAACAAGAACAACAAATACACAAAATACCAATAAAACTGTAGTAAATAATAATAATAATAAAATAACGGGGTGAGGATCATTAGACAAGAAAAGACATTTATACAGTACATAAAATGTTAGGAGTGGGACCATCTTGGCAGGGCACATCACCTGCCCCCCTCCACACACACACACACACACACACACACACCTGGTACATAAAAAGTACATGAATAATTAACACACATAGATATTTGTACCTGTGTAAGTGTTAGCCTGGCAGAGGTTTCCCAAGGGGCGGGGGAGGGGGGACAGGTGAGGACGGAGCTAAGAGCGAGGGGCGGTGACCTACCCACCTACGGTCACGCTAGACTACCATCACGCACCCTACCACACACACACTACTCACACACCACTACCACACACACACACGCACCTACACACACACACACGCACCTACTACCACACACTATTCACCTCACTACCACACACACGCACCTACACCCACCACCACTCTCACCACCATTCTCTTCCACCCACCACCATTCTCCTCCACCCACCATCACTCTCACCACCATTCTCTTCCACCCACCAACACTATCACCACCATTCTCCTCCACCAGTAAAGGATCACTGGTTATGTGAGAGTAACAAATCATGAATATAATATAAATAATTAATAAGAAAGTGAATCACTGAATATATGATATGAATAATGATGAACTGAACATATACACACACACACACACAAAAAGACTCGTTTAATACATAAATACCGGAGTTTTTTATGAGGGACACAGAGGCAGCATTTAATACCTTACATTATTAACAGAATACTCAAGGCTCTTCTATTAAATCTCTTTGACAACATAATGAATATCTATCATCTTAATGGTCTTTGTTGTATACTGCATGTTGGTCTTTAATAGTTAAGGTCTTTAACAGCTACGGTCTTTTATGTTGGTCTTTAGCAGTTAAGGTCTTTTATTAAGTTATTTTATGAAGGTCTTTAACAACTTAAGTCTTTTATTGAGGTCTTTAACAGCTAAGGTCTTGTACGCATCATTCGCAGGTCTTTTTTTCATATTAAACAACTTTAAAAATTATCTAATAGCTTTTCATATCTATTACTAATATTCCTATTTTATTTCTTAACTAATATTCCCACCGTCAGAATATTCCCTGCCCACCCAAATATTCTTTCCCTAATACAGTACAATGTCCTCAATTTCCTCTCATACTCAAAAATTTGCCTCCCCGTTGGAGATAATTCTTTCTCTCTCTCCCTCCTCCTCCCGCCCTCTGTTCTCCCCCTCCTCCCGCCCTCTGTTCTCCCCCTCCTCCCACCCTCTGTTCTTTCCCCGTATGTTTTTATAATAGTTCTACCCGGCCAGAACTCCATTTTCTAATACATATTCCCCCCCAATTCTCTTTTGACTCTACTAGTATATTCCTTTATGCCCTTTCTCCCTGGCTCTCCATCACCACCACTCTCTCTCCCACCCACCAACACCACCATTATCATCACCACTCCCTCCCACCCACCAACACCACCATTATCATCACCACTCCCTCCCACCCACCAACACCACCATTATCTCCACCACTCTTCCACCCACCAACACCACCATTACCTCCACCACTCTTCCACCCACCAACACCACCATTATCTCCACCACTCTCCCACCCACCAACACCAACACCATCACCACCAGCCCCCGTTTTAATATCACTAATCTTGGTATACTTTAGGTTAGGACACCACTCATTGTTTTACTCAACATACAGTATATGATAGTCGAGGCAGGCGTGACCCTCTGAGGACACGCGGGTATAAACACTACATATCCACCACAATAATATAATGATGTAAACAATAGTACCACAAGGGGATCCAATCGCTCTTTTATTTAAGGCAACAGATAAAAAAATATTAACCGAATAATGATGATGATGATGATGATGACGTGAGGGTATTTCTTGTTCCCGGGATGATAATGTTGTAATTGGTAAAGATTATGTACTTTAATAACATCTGAAGAATGTAAACAAGTCAACAACACCATCGACGAGGCTGTGACATTCCTGTAGTGAGTGTAGCAGGGCTGACTGGCTGGCTGGGCTGAGGAAGGGCGGGCGATCGACCGGGGCCGGCCACACGCTACACCCCCCATGCATCACATCACCAGAAATGCCGTGAGCACCGCCCGGATGTGTTCGTTCCGCACTAACTCGATTGATCGCGGGGGATAGTGAACTCTTCTCCACCGTCTTCACCTGACACTGATTCCAAGGGTCAACGACCAAAAGCTTATCTCCAAGATCTTGTTGATGGTGTAGCCAACGAGTCAGAGGATACTACTACAGCCTGGTGGACCATCTGTCTTCTGGAGTAATGTATCACGTTCTTTCATGACGACTCTGACAGCAATGTGTCACCTATTAGTCGTTGGCTGTGGTGTGTTTATGGTGGTACTGTGTGTGGTGCCCAGGGTTCATATACTGCCTAACGTGTTGCTACGTCTCGGTCTACTCTCTCCCTTTCCTACCCTCCCTCACTCTATCCTACCCTCCCTTGCTCTCTGCTACCCTCCCTCGTCCCTCCTTTCACTCACTCGCCCTCTTCTATCCTTCCTCGCCCTCTCGTACCCCCCCCCCCCTCCCTTCCTACTCTCCCTCACTCCCAATGACACAACACAACTTAGCTATTACGGTAAGAACTCCAGGGAGGAAATAAAGGCTTACGTGGCTGGACACCCATAATTCCCACCGTGGCGGCCATGTTGGTAATCTCTCTCTCTCTCTCTCAGCTGATCGACTCCCACGATTTATTTAACCAATACACGCCATCAAATCATGCGAAAAATGAATGACTTTACAACAAAAACAATGTAATGGTATGACGATAACACACGAGGGTCATTCAAAGGCTTTGTTTACACTACACACAAAACCACCGCCCCACGTGTTCAGTACAAACAATGTCGGGAATAAAACTCAGTAATATAACTTAAAATGAACAATAAAGTCACTAGAAAATAACTATAGATTTCTTGATGATGAAGGATAGTGGCACCGCTGTACACTTTATAAAAAACAAGTTGAGGCCATGAAGTAGTGTGTGTGTAGGGGGGGGGGGGTTATTCCTATTGTTTTAACTCTTTCCTGTCATAGAGTAGCAACAGCTCTTCACCGTGGCCATGCACTTCCTCTCTTTCCCCGGGTTCCTGTGTCCGCTGATCCACGCCACAACAAAAAGTGTGAGCCGGAGGGGGAGACACACACACAAGTACTACTGGACGTCACCGCAGTACGCCATCATCCTTAACCTGCCTGGCCCACTACAACACCTGCATGGCCCACTACAACACCTGCCTGGCCCACTACAACACCTACCTGGTCCACTACAACAACTGTCTGGCCCACTACAACACCTCCATGGCCCACTACAACACCTGCATGGCCCACCACAACACCTGCATGGCTTCGTTTCTACAATCTGCTTATAACACCTGCATGTCCCACTTCAACACCATCATCGCGACCCTCCCCCTACACCACGACCTCCTCCCCTCTACACCACCCTCCTCCCCACACCACGACCTCCTCCCTCTACACCACGACCCTCACCTCTACACGACGACGGGAAGCAGCCAATGTCATGAGGCAGGTATTGACGTTCACGAGCCAGTGTTTATAGAGAACACATTATCCAGATTACTACCTCACCACCACCACCTGCCGCCCCTCACCACCACCCACCGCCCCTCACCACCACCTGCCGCCCCTCACCACCGCCCACCGCCCCTCACCACCACCTAACACCCCTCCCCATCACTCAGCGCCGTAAAAAATCCCGCCGCCACAAGTCCTGCCTGGCGGTGCCCTAAGTGGATTCTTCCCCCGGCAGGAGAATTCATGGCCCCATTCATAACGTTACGATACTACAAGCTGATTGGCTGGAGCCTCAATCTATCAGCCCCTATCAGCCTCAACAGCATATGTGACCTCATCCACGACTTTACGATGCAGCTACCTGATTGGCTACAGACTCCTCCTATCATGACACTAGCCACTTATGACCTCAGCCGTGACGCAAGGATGCTGGTACCTGATTGGCTGGAGGCTTATGATATAGGAAACTGGGCGACTTCATAAATATTGCTACACTGCAATTAGTTGATTGGCTGAAGGTTCCTCCCATCATGATACTGGATACTTATCTCATCCATGACGTCAACAAGCAGGAAGCTGATTGGCTGAAGGTTCCTCCTATCATGACATAGTACACTTATGACTTCAGCCATAACATGAACAAGCAAGAAGCTGATTGGTCAGACACTTACCCAATCACCACCACGATATTAAACCCTATACTGTCTCTTCTCCATCAGTCAACATATTTCTCAAGGTCATGTGCATTGAGTCTCTAGATAAGAGAATAAAGACCAAGAATTATATTAACGATCCTCTTGATAATTCTGGCTCACGTCCTTACGATATATCTTCACTACCTCACAAAACAACGCGTTAAGTCAGCGAGCCACGACAGCCGGGGAAAATATTAGTACTGTGGAAAATAAATACCGCCATGCTCTTACAACAACAGCTGGGAAATGAACTAAAATAAATGAAATTAACTTTATTTACTTATTTCCCTTTTAAAATAAATAACAAGAAAGGGAACGAAAATGAATAAAAAATCAGCTTTATTTACTTTTTCTCCTGAACGTAAATTAGTAGTTTAAATGAGACAATGTAACTGGGAAGCTTAATTGAGTAGTGTAAAAGAGAAATGACTGAAGCGAGGCTTAAAGCTTAAAATGACAAGGAGCTTAAATGAAGAGCTTTATTGAGAAGGAACTCACAACTACGAGCATAAATGAGAATGTATAAGCTTAAAGGAGAAGCTTAATTAAAAAAAATTGAACAAAACAATACAAAAACCCCCCCCCCCCCCGACGTCCACAGGGATGGCCGAGG